CTATCTCAGACTTAGCCGTTCTCTTTACCATTTGGTCAACCGAGTTGACTATGGCCGATCCCTTTCCATTGGGAAGAGAGAGCTTTACTGGATATCCAATGTCATCATTGTCAATGTCCATAAAGTTTTAGGAAGTTGATCTTAGCAAATAGATAAGATCATTAAGGGTCTTGTCATAGTCTGTTTCATAGGAGTCCCAAAGGAACTCACTATGTGACTTAGAAAGTGATTGATCATCAGCTTCCTCTAGACTTTGACACCCAACTCTCCCGGCTTGTCAATATGTGACTACATCTCCAAGATGTGATCACACATAGACCTTTGCTTGCCAATAGGGCTTGAGTGACCTTAAACTTTTCAGGAACTTGTGGGTTAGGGAGAATAATTGGAGGAGGTGAAAGAAGTATGATTTCCATGGGACATCATCTTCATTTAGGAAAGCTTGTTTCAAGAGATTTGGGAAGATCATAGATGTCTGAACTTAGACATCTTTTGGGAGATATTCAAGTTAGTTGATTTAAAGTCCTTAATATAACACCCAATATGAAATATTAAGGCTAGGACCCAACAACCTATTTATAACTGGAAGAGGGATGCCGTAATCCAAGTTATAAAATAGTTGAAGGTAGGTAAATGACGATTTACCAATTTCCACCATGAAAAACGAAATATAATTAAGTTTTAATTGGATTTGAAACTCCTAGATCTTTTGAGATACATTGAACTTTCAATGGCATGTTTGAATCTCGATTGTGCCCTCTCAAGTTTGTGACTGGGATGCCGAGGATCACAAACAAGGTGTGAATAACCATACAAATTGACTTGGTACCCTCAACAATATTACCTAATCGATGTGCCGGTTAACCACACACGCTCCACCGATCTATAATAAAGTTAAGTTACCCTTTGCCACTCTTACTAGTCCATGTTAGTGTGCCGGTTAACCACACACGCTCCACTAACGACTTGGTAAGGTACAAAGTGTAATTTATGGGCTAGCACCAAATTCACATTTTCCTAAGTAACTAAGATTGGGAATTTATAAATGTTTAGTTACTTAGTATTTATCATTAATACTTTTAATGAAGGGAGAATTATAGTCCTTGTCCTACCCGTTCGGCTAACGACCCTCCACCAGTCAAGGAAGCGGTGGGTGAGAGTGGACACCCATTAAACTGCCATTTTATAGGCAGTAACCTTATACCCCCCTTATAGACCGGCTTCGTGAATGAGGCCTACTAACGGTAAGATTGACTTTATCTTATACATATCTATATAATTAAAATTATAATAATAGTATAAGGGTTTGAATTTTAACTTTTAAAATTCTAAGGGCTAACTTGGAATTAAAGTATTCATAAGTGAAACTTTTCAAATTCCAAAACTTGAGGGCAAGTTTTGAAACTATTCAAAACTAATTAATTCCATAACTTATGTGTTTAAATTAGTTTTAATTAAAAAACTCTTCAAGTTCCATAACTTGAGGACAAGTTATGGAAGACTTTAAACTAATAAAAGAATGTAACTTTTCTTTATTTTGTAACTTATGGAATTAATTAAGGTTACACATTTTATTACTTAATGAAGTGACTCTTGAACCTCCATAACTTGAGGACAAGACTCTTCATTTTTGTAACCATTGCCAACTTTTATGAGTTTTATGAAACTTAAATGTGACTTTTCATATAACTTGAGGACAAGTTACAAAAACACATTTTAGAATCAAACTCTTAGATTAAAATGGATTGAAAACACATAATCAATTAACTTTTCTATTAATCTAAGCAACTCATAAGAACAAGATAATTCAAATCAAACTTTTCATGTAATTAGCCTAATCACTAAACTAATACAAAACATGAATCTATTGACAATTATCTTTGAAATTGGATTAGTATGAACATTACCACATCAAAAACAAGTTTATAAGTTCAAAAACAGCTTATGGTAATGTTCCTAGTCCATTTCTAGCCAAAAAACGCGAAAATATGCTGTCTGGGGCTCCTACTCGTCGAGTGTATCAACCTACTCGCCGAGTAGGATGATTTTCTTCATGTACTCGGCGAGTTCATCAGTGGACTCGGCGAGTACAGTGCCCAGAATGCCCGAAATTCGACTTTTTCAGCATTTTTCAGCAATTTGCATCAAGTATAATTGAAAACAAGCCTAGGCTCTGATACCACTGTTGGGTTTTGAGCATTCTAACACTCCTAAGTGTACATGCAACCCTAAATACCTTGGATCTATGTTTTCTCTATTATACATGCAAATATGATTATCCAAGGTATTATCCTAACTAGCATACCAAAACATTGATACTAGGATACTAAAATAGATAGAATACATACCTTGTTGTTGTTGCTTGACTCCATGAAGCTTGAGAGCCTAGTGCCCCAAGTGTGACACCTCAAATGGTTCACACAACATCATGAACTCTTGGAATAACCATGAGAAGAAGACATACATGTTCAAATTGGCTAGCCCTCAACATATGTATCACTAGTGCCAATTTCTTGAACTAAAGGGGTTCTTATATAGTGTGGCTATTAGGGTTACACCATGTAACTCATGACTTTACCCATTCCTTATGCTCCATGGGTTTTAACCTCCATGGAGTATCCATGGATCACCACATGGGTTAAACCCAACATAAAGGAATCTTGGATCATAAGCCCACATATATAAGAATGAATGATTTACACAATCAATCCCTATATATTTAATTAGTCTCTTTTTGATCACTAAATTAAGTCCAAATTAATTCTTGATCAATACTAATTAAATAACATGATTTCATATTAATATATTAGAACTTATAATATATTAATATGTCACAAAATGTCTTTTCCTCATAAACGGTCTATCCAAATGTTCCGATGCCATGCAACCCAAATGGACCATGCCGAGTCGGGTCAAGTACATACCAATTATAGTTATGGACTTAGACACTAATCCAACATACCCATCAATCACAAATCTTCCATGCTTGACTAAATTTGAAAATTTTACTTGACTACTAAATATAATGTTTTTCTTAAACAACATACTTCAAATTTGGTTCCTTGTCCTATATAAAGACAATGATATCATACGATGGCATTGGATATTCAAACATAAATTCCATGTCGATGGTACTCTTAAAAGATACATGTTGAGTTTAGTGGTGAATGGAAAATCCCAAGAAGTAGGATTTGACTACAAAAAAATGGTTAGCCATGTGGTTAAATTTGACAACATTCGAACAATCTAAGTTCAGATATGGGTCGAAATTGTCCAATTCACTAAGTTGACGTCAAAAAATGCATTTCCTGTGATAACCTCAATTAAACAGTATACATGCATCAAGCAAAAGGATTTTACAATCCCTTGTACTACACTCATGTTTGCAAGTTACAAAAATCCTTTTATGACATGAAGTAGGCCCCATGGGCCTGATAGCGACACTTTGCCCAACATCTAGCTAAAATCGGCTTTATCTACACTAAGAGTGACACATCATTCTTCATATATCGGCATGGGTCACAATTGATATACCTTCGTATTTATGTTGATGAAATTGTTTTCATGGCTTCATCAACAAAACTCAAGACAAAACTCGTTGGTGCTCTCAAATTCGAATTTGACAGGACCAATTTGGGACATCTTTCTTACTTTTTGGGAATCTTAGTAACATGTACACCTAAAAGCATGTTCCTAAGTCAATGTAAGCATGCCATAGAGTACATCACACAAGCAGGTATGCACTAATGTAAACAAATTTCCACACCAGTTGACACAACTTCAAAGCATAGTGCTTCGGTCGGTGAGCCAATAAACGAACCATCACTTTATCACAACTAACAGGAGCATTGTAATATCTTACATTTTCCATGCCACACATAGTATGCATCATTCAAAAAATATGTTTATTTATGTATGCCCACAGGTACCTCACTTAAGTGCCCTTAAACGCATCATATAATACCTTAAGGACACTCTTACATGGTCTTCATATGTATCCGTTGGCACTCATGCAACTTATTTCTTATACTTACACATACTGGAGAGGGTGCCTTGCACTTGTCGACCCACCTTCGGTTATTGAGTATTTGTGGGTGATGATATCATTTCATGGTCAGCAAACCGCCAACAAACCCTCTATTACTCATTACTCCATCGTTGAGGTCAAATACAAAGGCCAACGTAGTTTCTGAAACGCGTTGGCTTCGCAACCTACTATTTGATCATTATACCTCTATGAGATGTGCTACTTTGGTCTATTGTGATGCTCAGTGAGCAGTAATGTGGTGTTCAGACCTAATGCCAGAGTGGTTGCTAATGTTTTGGGTTTGACCTACACCATTTTTAGGTCAATTTATCATTATAAATAAATTTCTTTGTAACTTTGTAATCCTAAGCTAACAAGAATGTGTGTGACTACCATGGTTATAATCATTGGCGGACTCATGTGGTGCCCGAGGGGTCCTGGGTCACTACTTCGATTCAACCAAATAGTGTAAAAAATTGCTTTTCTAATAGGTGTAACATCTTTGAAATATGAATGTCATAATTATTTTAGAAGTCCAAAAAAATGACATGGTGTAAAAAATACTAGCCCATGTTTCAAAAAATGACATGGTGTAATATGAGTGCAACGTCTTCGAACGATTTTGTTTTTACCACCAGACATTCAAATACTTGAAATTCGCATTTTTATGTTATTACCACCAGACATTCAGACAAATATAAATCAAAGATTCTACATTTTAATAATCTTAATTAACTGAATTTGGTGCCCATTGACCATCGACATTATTCGTACAATGATAATTTGACAACAAGGATGTTAAGCCTAAATGTGTCATCTTTTTCTCGTAGACATTGCTCGAACAATTAAACAACCTGTCTCAATGATCATCACTCATCAGTCTTTTTCATTGTATAGTGAAAAAGCTCACTCCCGATTTTGGAATTTTTGTGATCGGCAATTAAACAACTTAGCATCAATCAAATGAAACAAATCAAGCAACTAGCCACATGAAGAACATTGACCAAAGGGTAAGTGATATCGATGCCAAACCATACGCCCACAACATAATCACAGAACATTCATTCTCACCAGCTCCAAATAACTGTGTTATTGTACCTACCATATCAATAACTTTCAAATCATGTCATCAAAATCCAACAAAAACATATAGAAGAAATTCTATAACATCTAGTCTCATACTCATACCAATGTTTATTGCAGGTGGAAGCGCAAACTGTAGTAGAAGAACGAAAAGATAAAGAGGATCTGCATGCACTAAACCCAAGTAAAGTGCTCCTTTCACAATTGAAATACCAAAAAGTGGTAACAAAACTAACCGAACTGCTACGATTCCAAACACAATTGGTAATGACACCCCAGATCCTTTGAGACCTGCAACTTGTGTCCACTAATATCAAACAATCAAACACATATACACAAACAAATTTATGATCTAAGATTACCTTTTAAGAGGTTACCACCCATAATTAATGTCATAGTCGGGATCCCAGCATCTCTGAGACAACGAAAAAGAAATATATTGGACCTACAATATGAAATATCATATGATTCATGACATGATTTTAGAAGATCATACCCTACTAAGGATGCAGAATCTTGTATCACCCGAAGAGGAGCTGTTGTGCCAATTAGTAACTTTCGCATTGGTGTGATTGTTCCAACGATGAATCCCACAATCTTTATGATAGAAGACAACTTGTTAATTAGCGTGTGTATATGGTTGATATATACCAAGTTAGATATGTGGAATACTACATAGTTAAACTCCAACATATATGTTTAGGCTCCATTGATGCTAAGCCTTTAACAATAAAATAAACATTAAGGGACGTTGGGACTTGGGATATAATTACTACACCACCATTATAGTGGTGATCATTTGTATAAAACACTTCAAAATACAGTTGACACAGGCTCGAATCCCACAGGCTTCAACTAACTGACTAACTACATAATTACAATACAGCCCTTTCACTATATTAAATTACAATTTCTACCCTCTAATAGGATGGCTTGCCATTCAAAAAATAAAGCAGTGTACCGCTCCAATGGTTGAAGGTGCCAACACCACCTTCAAGTCAATCCCACGTAAAAAGTTCACCAAATGTTGCTTCATTGTGTCTAACATCACCTAATGCAATATAACATTCTAACTTTTGAGTAATATTATATCGGATACAAATTACTCCATTGAGAGTGAAAAACAACCTTAGCTTTTCCCTTCATGTGAATAATAGATGAAGATGATGGGAGCAAGCTTTCACTCAAACCCTCTTGCATGTTTACCGTTTCTTTGACACCATTGTTACCAGAATCTTGGTAATCACTCGAGAATACCCGTACTAGGTTATACACATAAGTCCATAAAAATATTGCTCCAATCTGATAAAAGTGTAGTTAATTACTTAATTAGGTCGACTTCAAACAAATAATCATACGAAAATTTCCAAGTAAAAGTACATACAGCCATAGATAGTGAAGCATAAGCCATGGCATACTCTCGACAAACATTAGGGTCACCAAAAGGACTTCCTTTTTCTTTGCATACAGCTGGAACTATAATCAAAGGCAAGCTTCCTAGGTTTCCTGTGATTAGTTTTGAATCAAAATTAATCAAAAAATCCATTAACTTAAAAAGGGAATAATATTTATTTCTTTTTATAGGGTTTAAGTAATTTACCTGCTGCACAGGCACCTAGGATGAGACCTTTTAGATTTTGAGGTGGTCTAGTGATGATCAAAAGCACCCATCCAAGTGCTGACCCGATTAAGTATGTAATAAGAATATTAATAGGCATAAACCACCTACAGTTTGAAACAGTTCATATTCAAAATGCTGACACCATTTTAAAGCAACGGATCAAGTAAATGAGTTGACTACATAATCAAGAACCTATTGGAGAAAATTTACATGGAAATGATGCTTTGGAGAGTGATTGTTTTAGCAAGATTGCTTCCCACTAGTGCTGGACTGAACACAAAGAATACAATCTGATCAAATAGGAAGAAATCTTGTGAGTCCCATATTCAGAAAATCGAATCTTTAACCAAATTTTGCAACTTTCTTGAATCAAATTAACAACTTTCTTGAACTTGTGTATTTGAACCCACGATTATATATGAGTTCCATAATGAGAAAAACTGAACCTTTCATCTAATTAGCAAGTCTTTTAACAAAACTACAATAGTTAGTACTATTCGTAAGCTTAAGCTAAAAGAGCCCATGAAAGTGCACATCGACAAGTCCTAAAGTACAATAACACCTTGTACATTACAAGTATACAATGCACACAGGAGGATTAACTTGAATTGCTGACGTATGCTTTCTTGATTAACTAAAGCGAAATAAAAAAACTTACGTTATTGACTTGCTTCCTTGTACTTTCTCCCAAGATATCGATAGAATCCAAGGCAAGAAATGAGCCAAGTGCAGTAATTATAAGAACTTTAAGAATAGGGATAGATGCAGCAGAGAACAGATCTAGAAACCCCATCTGTAAAACAAACTGTTTCCTGAAACCAAAAAAATATATATCATTAACATTGTGAAGTCGAAGAGTACTGGTGTATATAAAAAACTCAACAACAAATGGAGAATATTATCAACTGAACTTCTAGTGGGCATCAGTATACAAACAACAAAATACATGCATGCGCAAACCTAATGAGATTCAAACTTCACGAAAGGAATTCGGTATATTCCATTGAGAATGTTGAAAGCATTAGAGCAAAGAAATTAGTGGGGAAAGAGATTGTTACCTGAAGATGGAGAACTGAAGGCTGTCTTTCTCTATAACTTTAAATTAAAATAATATATATATCAATTATGCATAAAAAGCTTTATCTACTCTTTAGTAAAAAGCTTTATCAACTTTTTAATAAAGGGGTGATCAATATGGAATCTAAAATGGATTTTCGTTTTTATTAATTTCTTGCAGCACCCGCTCCTCAAATATGGATCAATCATGGAATCATAAACATCGGGGCTTACCGATTTATATTCAAAGAATAGTTTATTTCCAGATTTTAATGAGAGATAAAAGACAAAAGAATCAAGAATTTTATAACACCAAAAGAATGAAATGATATAGAATCTAATAGGATTGATGTCAACTTTTTTGGATTATATTCTGGATGTTATTTCTTTTGTTTTCTTTTTCTATATTAGGCCTTAATGGGCTTCACATTGGACTTTATGTTTAAGAATATAAGAACATAGTTTTATCCATATTATATACTATATTCAATAAGTAAAATAACCAACTTTTTTGATTTTTTGAAAAATAATGCTATATTTAGGACCCGTTTTTAATCGGGTTGCCTATATCATTAACCCTACATCTAATTGTAGTGGGATACCGCCGCGTTAAATAACTTGTTTCGATAAATGGTTTCAAACGACGATTAGTTATTTTTTGGCTTGCTATTTCTGTTAAAAACAAAAATATATGTTGATTGGATTAATAATAAGTATATATTGTAATTTTTGGTTAAAAGTTATGCTACAAATAGAAATTAGAAAATTAGAACATAAAAAATTTGCTATTATTTGGCTTATTAAAAATATTTTTTATTGTTTTGTGTATTAAATTGTTTTACGTGCTAAGTTCATATATTTCTTATTGTTGATTAAAATAAAATAAGATGTTTTATGCTCGAGTCTTTTATTTATTAACTTGAGTTTTTGTTGTATACAAAAAGTGATTTCTTTTCGATTAATAATTAAAAAGACATTGTATTTTTTGAATTAAAAATAAACTTATGTTTTAAGATAAAATCATAATTATATTATTGTGAAATTTTATTTACAATATATCTTTCAGAGAAAAAAAAATAAACATGAATATATATTAGTAAAAAAATTCAAATTCGAAAGATAAAAATTGGAATCATGTTTAATGCGGACAAATAATAAGAGTGAGTGATTCATGATTAAAAACGCAGTGCCGACGAATTTATCAAATAATTTTGTTTGTTATTTACTTCCCAAGACATATTTTAAATGTTAATATGGAGAAACATTTTACAAAATGTTTATTTTTTTATAAAAATGTTTTTATAAAATACTTACCTATATTTGTATTAATATTTTTTATGTGAAAAATAAAATAAATTACTATTTTTTTTCAAATCTATAAGCTTTATTTAACTTTTTCAGATAACCATAAATATTTTATCTATTTTGAAAACCGAATCCATGACTTCTATGTTGTATTGTCATTATATTTATGGGTTTTAAACTCCTATGATCGCTAAAAAATATGTTTTTGTTTACTTTAAATAATAAAATAAAAATTAATAATATCTAACTTCTCTTGATTTTAACTAATTTATTTTAATTAATATATAAATAAAAACAATGGAAATTTCATCATATAATATTAAAATTATTAAGTTTATTTTCTATATATTTAAAATATTGATACATTTAACAAAAATTAATTAGTTTGTCATATTTAAAAACTAATCGAATGGATAATGGATTATTAAAATTGGTTGTTGTACAGAAGATACATAGAAAACACAATAAAAAAAAAGTTGTATTTTTTCTCTAAATATTTGACTCCTATATTACAAAATTAAAATAAATTATAATATGACATAATAATGTTGTGACTTGTATTGTATGCAATTACAATTAAAAATATAACCCAATAACGTTTTGAATAAAATACATAAAGAAATTAAATATCATTCTACTTTTTGTTCCTCCAAATCCTCCTACCCAATTAAATAGTGACATGTGTAACATTTAATGCTCATTTAATGAAAAAACATCATAAATGGTCCTTGTGTTTTCTCAAAATCTGAAGTTTAGTCCATGTGGTTTAAAAACATCATAGATGGTCCCTGTGCTTTCAAAACTTTTGACGATTGATCCTTATTGCTAACTCCGTTAAGTTCTGTCTGTTAACTGAAAGACATTTTCGTCATTTCACTACCACAGGGACCATTTATGATGTTTTATCTTATTTTAAAATAATAATAATAATAATAATATGCAAAGAGGGTCTCTCTCTCTTTCCTCTCTCTCTCTCTCTATCAATGTTTGATATTGGGTGCCCCATTCCAAAAACGCGACATAGGTACTCCGGTGACCATTCCATCACCAACCATTGATTTATCCATTCCAAAAACACCATACATGCCTCCTCCCTGCATTCCAGAAACGCCAAACACGACCCCCCACCCCCTTTCCCTCCTGTCATCTCCAACCAAAGCCAATAGTCAAACAACCCAAGAATCAGTTGATTTCAATCACATTAAAACAAAGCCAATAGTCAAACAACCCAAGAATCCAACAGAGCCGAGAATTAAAGAAGCGAGCCAATAATGAAACACAATTAAACAAAGACTAGAATCAAATTTATAGGAGGAGCTATCGATTTTAATGCCTATAAACAGACAAACCTAGAATCAAACACAGTCAAACAAAACCAAAACTTTAAGACAAAACTTCATTTTAGAAGGAAGAGGAATAAAAAAAATAACCAAGAACATCTGAAAACCCTTCTCGGAGATCAAAAATGCAGAATCAAATAAAAAACCAAATAATTCTAAAAAAACACCAGAGATGAAGATCAGGTACCGATTTGTGTGTGCGTGTGGGTTTTTAAATTATTCCCTAGATGATCAGACAACCATCGAGATGATCAGAGGGGGTAAGGAGTCGATTTGTAGATAGGTAAGCCGTTAAATCTGTAGAAAACACGAACAAGAAAAGAGGAGGAATGGTTGTGATCGAATCAAGAATCGTGAAGAGGGGGAGGGCATACCTGTAACTGAATCAGAGGATTGGGGCTCAATTTCTTCACAACATCGCTATTTTCCAAATTGGTAACCCTAGGTTTAGCCAATTACTCATCTGGATTGAATTTCTTAACACACATAGACACTGTATTAGCTTGATAAGAACCAGAAGGAAGATTCGAGGTGAAAACAATAACTGATTTTGAGCCTAACTTTGATTTATCCAATTTTCCTTCAAATGACGTAGAAACATCGGCATCAAGATTTGGAGGGACACCCTTTTATAAAACCGAACGATAACTAGGTATAAGAGTAGAGAAGAAAATAGGGTTCATGATGGGATCAGAGAAAGAAAGAGACAGTAGGTGGTGGTGATCGGAGTCCTCACAGTGACAGCGAGTGGTGGCGGCATGCAATGGCAGTTCCACTGCCGTGCTCGTTTGTTTTCTGCAGATGTGAACTCAAAGGGAGGGGCGGTGAACGGTGGCAGGTAGTTGGAGGGAGTTGGTCTGATGGAGCCACGCAAGCAGTAACAGCAACACATGTGAGGGTGTTTGGCTAGCTCCGATCAGCAACAAAGAGTGAGAAATGACGGTGGTGGTGGCTGGTGATATAAGAACGAGAGAGACCCTCTTTGCATATATATATATTTTTTAAATAAGATAAAACATCATAAATGGTCCCTGTGGTAGTGAAATGACGAAAATGCCCTTCAGTTAACAGACAGAACTTAACGGAGTTAGCAATAAGGACCAATCGTCAAAAGTTTTGAAAGCATATGGACCATCTATGATGTTTTTAAACCACGGAGACTAAACTTCAGATTTTGAGAAAACACAGGGACCATTTATGATGTTTTTTCTATTTTAATATGTTAGTACGACACATGTCATTATTTAATTGAGTAGGAGGATTTGTAGGAATAAAAGTAGGAGGATATTTAATTTCTCAAATACACATGGATTGTTGAATAATTACATTTATAAAATTGTATTATATTGTTTTTTAAATTTTTTCTAAAAAAACTTCAACTTTAAATTATCTTGTAAATTTTATTTATTCCTTTTCTAACATCTACAACACCATGAACAATGAAACACCATACAAAATTTAAAATAAAGAGAACCGACTTTTATATACAAAGCAAACATTAACCAAAAAAAGTCACATTTAACTTTTCTGTTCCTAACAAAAGAGAGTTATTCTTCCCCATTGGCGTACGTAGATCTAGCACCATTGGCAGTCGTGGATGTGAGTGGTGAGGCTAGAAGCAGCAATGGTTTTTAGTGGTACGATGGTGGTCGGTTGGTGGTGAGGGGACCGGTTAGTAGAGGTTGTCTGGGTGTTTAGATCTTGATTGTGGAGGTTGTAAATAGTTTTGTTCAACGTTGGGGCAATGTTGGTGGCGGCGGGTCGTGTTGGCGGTGGTTGGCTGAGATGGTGTTAGTGGCAACTAAAGAGTGTTATGACTTGAATTTGTACCTACAATGTGGTTAGTAGAAGTATAAAAACTAAAATTACACCCCCTCCTGGAAGTGACTCGATTATTGTTGCGATTTTTTATTCCATTTATTTTTTGTTTTCCCGGGTTGATTGGAAGCGGAATAAAGAGTCGTAATGGTGGTTGTAGTCGAGTCAAGCATAGGATCGTGATGTTCTTCTCGATTTTCATGAACTAACAACATGTTTTTGGCTTCTAAAAAGGATGGGAACAGTTTTGTGTTAGTTATGACTTCCACAATACTTTGATAGGAGGACGGGAGACCACGAAGTATTTGCATCACAAGTTCCAATTCAGAATTTTCAGAGTCAAGATCATGAAGGGTATCTACAAGGTATTTGAGTGTATGACAGTACCCATGAATGGAAGATGCACTTTTTTTGTATTATGAAATCGTTCTTGGAGTTGAAGCATCCTAGGCATCTTGTTATTAAGAAAGTACTCATACAGATTGTCCCACATGTCTTTGGAAGTGCAGGAGTTGGTAGTGATGACTTGTAAGACGGAGGGGTCGCAAGTGGAGTAGAACCAAGATTTCACCCGAGAGTCAATTGATGCCCAATCTTCATCATCTTCATCGGTTGGCTTGGATTTTTTGGTTATATTGCCAAGAACTTTAACACATGTACAAATATCTTTGAAGATATGACACCATAGCTTGTATTTTGATCCATCAGAGGTGAGTTTAAAACTGAATTGATTATAGACATTAGTGAAAAAATAAACATGTTGTTGTGCAGTAGGGGTTGTGATGCTACTAGAGGAGCTTGACGAGGTCATGATGAATCGGAAAACGATGAATAAACGAAAATAAAAGGACGTAATAATAATCAGAAAACTAACTGTGGGTAGGAATAATTGTAGTAGAACTATTATACGAGTCCACACTTGTGACTGCGAGGCAGCGGAATGTGGGAGAATCAATGGTGAGAAGCACATAAGCAGAGGATGCACGAGAGCAACAACACACCTGATCAGTCATGATGGAAAGTTGATCGATTGTGAAGAAGAAGGCAACGATCCTAGACACAGAAGAAAATTTGTAATCGATATATCTTCATACGCCGTACATCATAATGGCTTGATACCATGTTTGTGGAAATAATTCCCTTTAGGGCTTGCATTCAATACTCAACAGTTAGTTAGATAGTTTGTTGTTTCAAAAAACACAGTATATATACAAAGTACAATATATAAAATACACAAAGGAACCCTAAACTATATACATATATAAAACCTACACTAGATTAGACAAAGTATTAAATAAGTATATTAACATTGTGGCACCCATATACCGCATCGTGGGGAAAAGTATATTTCCGTTCTTTCTTACGACGTAGTCCCGCCGCGGTGGTGATTTATTCAATGTGCCACGGTAGCTGCTTGACAGCAGCCCCTTGGTTGATTTCATTCCAACTTTGGGACATTTTTGTTTCAACTTCTAACGTGCATAACTTATTCGTTTCTTATCCGTTTTCTATGATCTTTATATCCACACAAAGGTGGGAACATAATATACAGCTCTATTAATTCATATCTCACTAACTGAATATGGGTATTAATCTATTAAGTCACAAAGTTGGCCCAAAAAGCATAAAATTCCTATTTTATCCTTTTGACCAAAAATGTATCTTCTCATGCATTCTTTCTCTTTAACTTACTCATATAATCTCCTCTAAGTGACTTAAACTTTGTTTTGACCATTTTCATGAAGTCACAACTTCATAATATGATCTATTTCTCATAATTTACCATTTTGCCCTTTTGGTCAATATTTGACTAAAAGTCAATTTTCTCTATATTTCAGGTTCTTACAATTGAAAGAATTCGGTCGAATGTGGTATACCTGCCCAAATGAATACTTGATCAGAATGGGATATTTAAATAATGAGATATATCAATGCATGTTCATAAAGAAAACCACTTCAGGATACGTGATTATTGTAATTTATGTAGATGATATAAATATCATAGGAACCTCGAAAGAATCATTTGAAACTACTGAAATCTTGAAGAAGTAATTCGAGATGAAAGATCTTAGAAAAAACATGGTATTGTCTTGGCACGCATATCGAGCAACGTAAAGATGGGACTTTACTATTGTAACACCCGGTTCCTGGTATGTATTTAAAGTTATAAGTTATTCATTTTTGTACAAGAACTCGACGAGTTGGAGGCCCCAAACTCATCGAGTAGAGATGGATTTGGACGCGGGTTATGAAGTCTACTCGACGAGTTGAGAGCCTCAACTCGACGAGTAGGCCTGGCAGAATGAAACCCTAATTTTAAGGGTTTTGCACCCTATTTAAACACCTTAACCTCCAAAGGTTGGCCTCATTTACAGCCTCCATCGTCCCAAACCCTATCCAAGAAACCCTAATCCACTTTTGGAGAGTTTTGAGCCATTTTGTGCATTCTTTGTGATTTTGAAGCTTGTGAAGGAAGGAGAAGCTTGGGGACTCAAGAGGAAGCTAGTAGATCCAGAGTTTAAGCTGCATTTCTGACTCATTTGAGGTATAAAGTTGATACATTGGCTTTCTATTACTTAGATCTTCATTTAGGGTAGTATGTTGTCACTTTTGGGCCATATTGAAGTCATTTTCGGGATTTGAGTATATTATGAAGTTGTGACTTCAGATCTAGGCACTCATAAGCTTATAAGGCTTAAAGTTGCCAGATTTATCAAGCCTTGGCCCTTCTCCATGCCTTAGATCTCTTATATAGGTTAGTTTTGGTGTTTCTAGCTTCATGACACCACACATGGACGTAAAGTTAGCAACTTTACGTGATATAACAGCCCTAGGGGACCAGATCTATGGTTTGGAAGCATTGAACTCGATTGGAAGTGACTAAATGGATTTAGAGAAGGAGAACTCGACGAGTTGTTCATCCAACTCGGCGAGTTGGATCGTAATCCCCCAAACTTTTCTGTTATTGAGCAAACTCGGCGATTCTAGGAGATGACTCAGCGAGTTGGCCATGGTTTTCGGTTTTAAAGACTGAAGAACTCGACGAGTTCAAGGAGGAACTCGACAATTTGTGTTGTGAAGTCCCGACTCTATTATAAGGAGGAACTCGAAAATTTCATGAAAGAACTCGACGAGTTGGATCGTGATTTCTGGGTTTATAATTCATGGAACTCGACGAGTTGATGGACCAGCTCGGCGAGTTGAGTCAACTTAGGATGTTGACTTTGACCAGAAGGCTGACTTTGACCAGGGTGTTGACTGTGACTTTGACTTTGACCAAAGTTGAACCGCAAGGGGTTATGGGTATGAAAGGGTAATTAAAGAAGATCTTTTGTGTGTAGGAGATTGAGTGGAGTTGATTTCAGAGCCGAGGACAGTTCAACTACTTCATGATATTTGAGGTGAGTTACCTTCTAGTAGAAGTGGTTCGAAGGCACCAATGTCGGCCCACTAGTAAGTGTTATAGTAGAGGTGATTATCTTTGTGATAATTATCTGGTATGATATGTTATGCTTTATGTGATAGTATGCTATGATATTATGTGATAATGGTAGGAGGGGTAGGATAGGCCCCAGTACCGGTCGAAAGGACCGAAGGGGTAGGCCAGCACCCTGATATGCTAGGCAGTATGTGAATTATGTTGTCACACCCCCAAACCAGAACGGCGGAAACGTTCGGGGGCGGAGGACGTCATGCTCAGTATCATAACCATAGTGAAGAAAGTAAAACACAACCATCATGAATATAATTTAAAAGGTTACATTGTTTCCAAAATACATGTTTCCAAATAAATTACATATGATGTTCAAAATATAGCAAAAGAATCTACGCCTTAGCGTCTTGACTTCAGACATCTTGTGGTTACCTGTATTACTGATTACCTGAGAATACAAGTTGTTTTGAAAGAGTATCAGCATAAAGTTGGTGAGTTCATAAGTATTTATGAAAATGAATGTTGTTTCCTTAAAGTTTGTTACAAGTTTGTTTCCAAAAAATCCAATATTTTCTAAAGGGTTGTTATAGTCTTAACTGAAACAAGATTTAGTGTATGCAAGTAAATCGTCATACTCGTAT